TTTTCTTTACAGTACCCACTTGCAACTGCAATACATAAATCACACAGAGAGGAAGAAGAAGACCACTTTTCTCGTTTTCTTTACACTCAAACCTGTAAAATCAGATTCAGAGTAAGAGTTGGGCATATCATTTTTTTTCTTTTGGATTCTAACCTGCAACTGCAACAGTGAGAGAAAAAGACCTGAAATTATAAGCATTACTTGTAAGGAGAGGTAGGCTAGATTAGAATGTACAGATCGATCCATCCCAATTGTATAAAGTTGTGATATATCAAATAGCTCGAAAAAGAGAGATTATGGATTTGAATTTGTTGATTGAATTTTTGGTATGGGTTTCTACGATTTCTGGTATGGATTTGTAGAGAGAGAGAGAGAGAGAGAGAGAGAGGTGGGGAGGGGGATTTTTTTTAGTTAAAACAATATTAAAATAATTATAAAAAATACAAAAAGGAAAATAAAAGGGCATAATCATCTTTTCAAGTTTTTTTGGATTTAAATCACGGAAACGTTTTGATTTTGGACCTTCTATGCAAGTTGGAAACTTTTTTGATCTTATCCAAAAAATTTTGAATACCACAGGGACCAATTTTGTAGTTGAGGATACGTCGATACATAGTATTTTGGGTAAATTACATGGATGGTCCTTATGGTTTAAGGTAATCTGTATGTTTGGTCTTTAAGAACATTTTTTTAACTCAGATTGTCCGTATAGTTTGATTTTGTTTCGCGTTTAATGCCTCCTACATCTAAAATGACTTGTTTACCCTTTTTCTAATTTACATATTACTTTTTAATTTAATAATAATCATAGTTAAAGAAAATATCCCATGCTTTCTCCACAAGAAACGTTCGAGTCGTTCTTTCTCTCTCTCTTTCTCTCTCATTCTCTCTCTTATACGTTGCCGGAGAACCAACGGCTTGAGAACAACCGCCACTTTTTCGGAGTTAATCAACCCTACCCTATCCGATCTGAAGGTGGCTGCCTCTTGTTCCTCTTTATGCATCGGAAACCTACAAGTTTGATTTTGATGGTTGGTGGTAAATGAGAAAGAAAAATATTGACAGAGAATCAGAAATCGGTTAGGGAAAGGGAGGTCGACTCCTAATTAGTGAGGAAGAAGATGAACATGGTGGTGGTTCTCCGGAGGCATGTGCAGATCTTATATAGGGCTAGGAGGCTGTGGCCCCCCTGATTTTTTTGGCAGAAGTAGTCCCTATACTTTAATTTTATATATATTAGGCCCAAAAATATAAAATTTTGACTATGCCCCCCCACCCCCCAACGGAAAGATTGAAGCTCTGCCACTGTCCGGATGTGAAGGACAAGAAGAAGATGGTTTGATCTGAATGTCTGGTTCAAAAATCAAATTGAAGCAAAATTTCTTTGAATCAGGTTTGTATGCCTTGTACTTATTAAGGCGTGGGTAAAACAACCTTAATCGTTAGGGTTTCATTTGGAGAATCCCAGAAGTTTTAATCTTAATTTGGTTTCTGACTTTTTATGAGATAATTCACCATTTTGGTATGACTATGCATTTACATTTTCTTGAACTTGTTGTAGACAATATTTTAAGGTGGAAAGAATAGATTTAGTATTAGATAAAACAAGATTCGAGTAACCAATTGAGGGGTTTTGTCTTTGAATAGCTTTTCACCCACATCTACCAATTATTTCTAGTGCAAGTGCATAATAATTAACACGTTCTTCACTATCATTCAATCATTGAAATGTTTTGTTTGAATCGAAGGGTTTGAAAATGTTTTCTAAGTTCATCATGACGAATGGGTTGGAGCGGGGAAGGCGACATTCTTGTCGGAGAAGAAAAGGTGCGGGTGGGTGGGGTGGTAATGGACCCATTTACTTTAAATATTAATGAAAAAGAAAAATAAGTAATTAAATCATTAAAAAGTTAATATATAATTTAAAAGAGCAGAAGAATCATTTTATTTGTGGTAGTGACTAAACGCGAAATAAAACTAAACCACATAGATGAATAGAAAAATTAAAGACTAAACATGCATATTCATTTGTGTAATTTATCCTCCTATTTTTTGTTGGATAAATAGTATAATAGTATTGAATTTATCGAAGAGGAGAAAAGGAAAAAGGAGAGTTAATGACATTTATGAGTATTGCTGACTTTCAAACTTTAAAAAAAAGGGAGTCCTACGTACTTACTTCCATCTTTGCCGTTCAAAACCATGTTCGTGTTCTCGTTTCTGGAGCCACACCAAAGTCACCCACGATCTATAAGATCAATTCAACCGTGAGTTACCCACGCAAACTACAACGGTTATCGAGTTTCATGTTTAGATGTCATACTGGTATAAAAATATAAATGTTACTGATTAAAAATTTAAAATATTTATATTTTTATAAACTTATATAAAGAATTGTTGGAATAAACGTGCATATATATATATATATATATATATATCAGTGTTGTAAAAATCCTGAATAAGTCCCAATTAATCTCTGGTTAATCCCTAGACGCTACTCGACCGATTAGAGGGCGTCTAGCGATTAATCCCTGCATATACAATGATTGAACTAGCAGAACCTGATGAAAATTTAACACTTTGAAGAAGTTATATTTCAATAAAAACTATTTAAGGTATGATTAGTATTGTATTAATCATATCAAATTATGATATTAGTGGTATTTATGACCTTTTATATGATATTAGTCACATTTGATTTTTAAAAATTCAAAATATTAGCAATTAATGGTCTCCGATTAATCACCGTCTAGCCGATTAATTCTTTAACCAAAGTCCACCGACTAGCTAACGTCGAACGATTTTTACAACCTTTATATATATATATATATATATATATATATATATATATATATATATATATATATATATATATATATATATATATATATATATATATATATATATATATATATATGAGTCCAAACAAGGTTTTTAAATTTAGATTCCGTATCCTTAATGTTTTAAATCAGTCAAACCCATGCCCACCATACCTTAATTTGAGGAACACTTATCATTTCTTTAACACACTGCCGGATTCACACGTCTGTGATATGTCATATTAAAAAAATTATAATTCAAAACTTGAAATTAATGTGAATGTTATTCTGATTTCACAATTAGTTCCTTTAAAAGATGCTTGTCATCAAACATGAAATGCATAGGTATAAATATATTTAATATATTGCATGACAAATGTGTATGTGACTTATTGATTTCTAGGTTTAAACTAAATAACTATGATAATACATAGATGCATAAAAATGGTAAACCTCAACATTCCCCAAGATCCACATGAGAGGTTAATCATTGAACACTAGCAATCCTTTGGATGTGATGAAGTTTGAATCCTAAACCCAACATGTGAAATTCCACTCATCAACTACTAGGTTCCCATATAATATACTTTATAGAGCTATTTTCAATTATGCTAAAAATTTGAAAGATTATCGACGATGAGATTTAGAGGAATGAAATGACAACTAGTTTGGAGTCACTTTTATGCTTATGTGGTCCCTTTTTGTGAGCTGACAATTAATTCGAGTTTACATGTTTCCTGCGAATGTTCGACGATTACAAACGTGCGATCGTGGGGGATTACAAATTTGCACCCTCTTACGTTGATCGAGTGGTCAAAGCAGGGGTTTCACTTTTCAGGATTACAAGAACAATAGTATTACGTGATTGTTTCATATGTTATTCAACTTGTATGGATGCATAAAAACGTCAAGGTGTTTGGGAGGGTTGTATGCGTTTTGGAGCATCTTTTTGATTCGATGCATTGTCTTTCTTGTCTTACGTCTTGTTGCAGTAATGATCATTGTTTTAAAAACGATAGGGAAATGAACAGTTCAACTAACATTAGTTTTATGTCTATTTCAGGATCAAAACGAACCGACTGGTTTTTATAAAGTCTCGGTTGAACCGATTAATTTGAATAAAAACATATGGAAATGAGACATTTTGCATAACAAATTTTAGTGACATTTTCACATCTTTTTAGACTTCTATTATCACCATGTGCATATGGAAGATCCATTCTGTACGATTCTAAAAAAAGTAAATATGAGAAGGTAATAACATATGACTTGATCACTAATACTCTATTAGCTAACTTTATAGATCTTCAAAATGACAAAGATCTCTTTTATATTAGATATTTGATAAGTTTTTCTCTATAACTTAAATGATGTGGTTTATTACTAAAAATTGATAGATGGTATGAAATTTTTTGATGTGTTGCTATTCATTTAAAACTGTATTTTGTTTTGGTAAGATACTTCATGTTATCTTTTATTTATTTATTTATTTATTTTTATTTGTATTGATTTCTATATGTATGTAAAAAAAAACACAAAAAATTTGAAAACCAAATTTAATTTCTTGTGGCTAATTCTTTGCTAGTTTTGTTTCTAATATAATCTTAGGACTGTTTAATAAAAATAATATACTTGAGATGTTATACTTTTTGTTATCACTTATCAGATTTTTATTTATTTATTTATTTATTTATAGATTGTAAGCGGGTTTTTTGGTTAGATACTATTGGACCGAATTTAGGTTACTTTTTTTAAATAGATGCAGATAATATACTTAATATTCTTATAAATTTAAATTTGTTAGGTGTTTTATTATGATGTTTACCATGATTACCCAGAATTATTCCATTAAACATTAGTTTTTTATTTTTATGTTTTGAAAAAATCTCATTGGTGCTTTCTTTGTACTTTATGACCCAATCCCGACCTCCATTGTCAAATTATGTTGCTACAAAAGGCCTGAGCTTCCAAGAACAACACAAGATCCGAGAAAGCTCCAAATTTGAGCATTAGAAGATTCTGAATTTCCCATTAATAAAATCATCAAAAGAAACAAAACTCACATTTGTGATTCTTCATCTGTCAATATGTGCCGTTTCTCATACAAAAACCGGCTTCAATAACACCACCAACCACTACATAAAACAATCATAGCTTGACCTCTCTTAACAACACCCAGCAATGGCGACACAACCATCTGCAACAAATGTTCAGACGATGAGGAAGAAGAAAAAGAAAGGAAAAGTAAAATGGAGCAATCTTTACACGTTTTCTTGTTTAAGGTCACCACCTCCGGTGAACCAATCGGATTTCGGCCAGCCTGGGTTCTCCAGAGTCGTTTTCTGTAACGATTCAGGGATGCACAGAACAAAACCATATAAGTATCCCATCAACGATGTCTCCACAACAAAGTATAATGTGGTGACGTTTCTTCCCAAGTCGTTGTTTGAGCAGTTCCGTAGGGTGGCAAATCTATATTTCTTGTTAGTTGCAGTTTTATCGGTTACTTCTTTAGCTCCTTTCTCTCCTCTGAGCTTGATTGCACCTTTGGTTTTTGTTGTTGGAATCAGTATGCTGAAAGAGGGCGTAGAGGATTGGCATCGGTTCTTGCAGGATTTGGAGGTGAATTCGAGGAAAGTGAAAGTTCATATTGGAAATGGATCGTTTCTTGACAGACCATGGAAGGTGCTACGAGTGGGGGATGTTGTGAAGGTGAGCAAGAATGAGTATTTTCCATGTGATCTTCTGTTATTATCTTCTAGCTATGAAGACGGTGTTTGCTATGTTGAGACTATGAATTTAGATGGAGAAACCAATCTGAAAATCAAACGTTGCTTGGAATGTACTCTGGGTTTTGATGAAGAACTGAAGTTTGATAAGTTTAAAGCCACGATTCGGTGTGAAGATCCGAATTCGAGTCTCTACACTTTTGTTGCAAATTTGGAGTTTGGAGACGAAGATGAAGATACGTTGATTTCTTCATACCCTTTATCCCCTTCGCAGCTCCTTCTTCGAGATTCAAAGCTACAAAATACGGATTATGTCTACGGAGTTGTGGTATTTACCGGAAGAGATACGAAAGTGGTTCGAAATTCTTTGAAATCGCCTTCGAAACGTAGCAGAGTAGAAAAAAAGATGGATCATGTAATTTATGTTCTGTTCTTCATGTTGCTTCTAATATCTTTAATCACCTCCATTGGTTCTGCTCGATATACAGACAGAAAACATACAGCTAAAGAATGGTGGTACCTTCAGTTACTCGAAGATACAGATGCGTCTTTTGATCCTAACAAACCACTCATTTCTGGGTTTCTTCAGTTCCTGAGAGCACTCATATTGTACGGTTACTTGATCCCAATCTCCCTTTACGTCTCCATTGAAGTAGTCAAGTTCTTACAAGCAATGCTCATAAACAATGACCTCCAACTGTTCGATGAAATGTCTGGGAAATCAGTTGAAGCCCGGACTTCAAATTTGAATGAGGAACTTGGTCAGGTTGAGATGATTTTGTCTGATAAAACGGGGACTTTAACATGTAACCAAATGGAGTTCAGGAAGTGCTCCATTGAAGGAATTTCTTATGGTGGTGATGTAAATGCCATTGTTCGTGCTGCTTCTCACAGAATGAATATTAACATCGAGAGCTATCGTTTCAATATAGATGCTGAGGATTCCACGCCTCGTGATAGTATTGAGATGCACGAAATTTGTACCGATCAAGATAATGAAGTACACAACAGTGTCTTGGATGATGCAAAAACTACGAGAAATCTTGGTATAAAAGGTTTTAATTTTAGAGATGATAGATTGATGAACAAAATGTGGGTTCATGGATCCAATGTCTGGGATATGATGATGTTCTTCAGAGTCATGGCTTTATGTCATACAGGTATACCAGTCGAAAATGGAGAAGAAACAGGAAGCCATAAACTCAAATATGAAGCAGAATCCCCCGAAGAAGTGACCTTTCTGATTGCAGCCCAAGAGTTTGGCTTCCAGTTTTGCAAAAGAACTCAGTCTTCAATGTTTGTTAAAGAGATTGATTCTTCTTCAGAGGAGGTCGAAAGGTCGATGCTTTCCCATGATATTCTTTATCTTTATGACTTCATCTCCCCCCCTTTATTATTATCTAACCTTTTTAAACTATACATATCTATGATTAAATTTCAGGGAATACAAGCTATTGAACTTATTAGAATTCAGCAGCTCAAGAAAGAGGATGTCAGTGATAGTTCGTGATGAAGTTGGTCAGATTTTCCTATTTTGCAAAGGCGCTGACAAGTAAGTTTCTTGATTTTTTCCAATTGAATACTCTTTATTTGTAATTTTGAGGATAAATATTTAATCTTTGACCTCAATATGGAGCTAAAGATCTTGTTTTGTGTAGCATCATCTTTGATAGGCTAGGTGATAGTGGTAGGACATATCAACATGCTACAACCATGCACCTTGCAAACTATGCAGAAGATGGGTTGAGGACAATGGCGTTTGCTTATCGAAAGATTAAAGATTTGGAGTATGAAGAATGGAGCTCAACATTTGCTAAAGCAAAGGCAACAATCGGGTCTGAAAGAGAGGAGTTGCTAGAGAATGTATCTGAAATCATCGAGAAAGATTTGATGTTGTTAGGTGCTGTAGCTGTTGATGATAAGTTACAAGATGGGGTAATAAAAACCATAAAACATTTACTCAACCTCTTTTAAGAACATATTGATCACTTCCTAACATTCATCTCAGGTTGCAGAATGCATAGATAAACTCGCTCAAGCTGGACTCAAGATATGGCTACTTACTGGAGACAAAAAGGAGACTGCAGTTAATATTGGGTTAGAATTCTCAAATAGATATGATACGCCTAACGCCTTCATCAATTATCAAATTCAAAATTTTGATTGGACTCCTTATAATGTTTTTATTTTATTTTATTATTAAATTTTTTTTTTTTTTGGATTTTTGGTCAGATTTGCTTGTAGTTTGCTTAGGCATGATATGAAGCAGTTTCATCTGAGTTTGAGCAGGGACGCCGAATCGAAAAATCAACCAAAGGTGAATATTTATGAACTCGAATTGAGTCGATTTACTCTATTACAGGTAGAAAAATGCGAGTTAGGGGTAATGATTCAACATTTTGTAGCTTTCAGGCTATGAATGATGAGATATTAAATCAAATCGAGGCTTCTTATCAAGTTACAGTAAACGAAAAAACCAAGGATGATCCTTTTGCTCTTGTGGTGGATGGAAAAGCCCTTGAAATTGCTTTGGGGGATGAGATAAGAGACGATTTCTTGCAATTGGCAGTTAATTGTTCCTCTGTTATATGTTGTCGTGTCTCTCCTAAACAGAAAGCCTTGGTAATCCACATAGGTTCATCTTACATCAAATCATATCGTAAACAATTAGAAATTAATCCATCTAATTTTGTGCAAACTTAGATTACTCGATTAGTGAAGAAATATACCGGCAAGATGACGTTGGCGATTGGAGATGGAGCAAACGATGTTGGTATGATTCAAGCAGCTGATATCGGCATTGGGATTAGTGGTATGGAAGGAATGCAGGCTGTGATGGCAAGTGATTTCTCAATGCCCCAATTTCGATTCCTCGAACGGTTGTTAATAGTGCATGGGCATTGGTGTTACAAGAGAATCTCAAAAATGGTGTCTACCAAACTTAATTTAGAGATTTTTTTTATTTTTTTTATTATTATTATTATTTTTTTTTAGGTATGACTTATTTTTTAAATCGATCGTGTATTCCTGCAGATTTTGTATTTCGTATACAAGAACATTGTATTTGGGCTTACGTTATTCTACTATGAACTCTATTCCAAATTCTCGGGGGACGTGTTATATGACGGATGGTATATGCTTATGTTCAATCTCTTTCTCACATCCCTTCCAGTCATATCGTTAGGCGTCCTGGAACAAGATGTTTCCTCAGATATTTGCCTTGAGGTATATATTATATATATTTCGGTAAAAATATTAAATTATCAATCATAAAGACTAACGTGTTTTCCCTTAATGATATCAGTTTCCGGCCCTTTATCAACAAGGACAAAAGGGTATTTTCTTTAGTTGGAAGAGAATCTTGGGGTGGATGGGAAACGGATTACTTACATCTGTCACCATATTCATCCTAAACGTCAACATTCTATCCTCCTCAACCTTCCGACAAGGGGGAGAAGTCATAGACATCTCCCATTTAGGAGTGATCACATACACCATCGTCATATGGACTGTAAACTGTCAGATTGCTCTGATCATCACTCACTTTACATGGATCCAACATATCTTCATTTGGGGAAGCATCTTGTGTTGGTATATTTTCTTACTCTTCTATGGTGCTCTTCCACCTGTATACTCCGGCCGGGAATTCAAACTCCTGATTGAAGCCGTGGGACCCGCACCCGTGTACTGGATTGTCACGTTGTTAGTTGTAGTCGTTGCTCTTCTTCCCTACTTCATTTACATGGTCATCATGAGGTCGTTTTATCCAATGGATGATCATGTCATCCAAGAAATGAAATATGGAAGGAAAGTTGTTGTAGATGATGAGATGTGGTTGAGAGAGAAGCAAAGTTCCAGGAAGGTGACCCATATTGGGTTTTCAGCCAGAGTCGATGCCAAGATCCTCTATTTAAAGGATCAACTACACAAGAAAAGAATGTTCATTATTAAATCCATCACGAATAGTCCTATTCGTCGATCCATAACCATTAATTCATTAGAAAATAGAGATTCATCATAATACCAACTATGATTCTTGCACACACTTGTTTCTCAGTTGTCCAAAGGCATTATAAAGAGTAAATTTATACATATTTGTGTCTTACATGTTAATTGTTTTCTTACCAAAATTTTGTTAGTCATTGATAATGTAACTTAGGTGAATAAATCGTGCTTGATTGGTTTAACCAAATTTATCAAATTGAAGTTTAAGTTTGAATACACACTACTACAAAATGGGCTAATAGAGCCCGATTATAATGGATGATATATGAGCAATTCATAAGCATCTGCTAAGGGCTGCAAATAAACCATATACAAGTATACAACCCAATACTTTAACATCGATAGTTTGAACACGTTCATTTTAAATTGACACGTTATTTACCAAAGTAGAAAAGGAGATATATCAATATCAAGACAAAGAATATTTTCTTTACAAGACCTTCCCGATGGTTTCAAGGGGAAAGCTCATAAGGCTGGCTGAGATGGTGGTGGGGTGTTGCATGTGGTCAATGTGGTCCTACCGAAATTGGTTGGTTTTTGATGCTATAAAACCCAAAAATTTAAAGGAGAAATATTTGGTTTTGTAGTCCATCATATGATTATCTACTAGGATTAAGAGTAGTAAGTTGAATTGGACTAAATAGGTTAATAACCCTTCCAATGCTATCAAGTTCTTGTAAATTTTGTTTTCCTCTAGCTCCTTGCTAGAGTGGCTGTGTTTAATGATATTTACGTTCAAAAAATAAAAAATATCAAGACAAAGAAAATAATTCATAAGACCAAGAAGAACCATACTTCTAGTGGTCCATATCAGTGAAATGCATATGCGAAAATTAAATTGAGGCCCTATAAAATATTGTTGTAAAATGTATTAAATCTGATCATATGCATGTCTTCACTCATTAGTAATAAATTGAAACTACTATAAACAACTTTCCAAAACAAGATAAACAATAAACACATTATTATTTTCTAAATATCGATCTTCTAGCATTTTTAGAAGCAAATTCATCAATTATACTTTCATAATAAATATTTTTAAGAAACTATTCTCAATCGAAATCAAGCCGAAACTTAACATTTTAAAAGTTTTAATTTTGAAAATTTTCTTTACACTTATGTAATTGTAATAAGAATAATCAACAATATTCCATGTGGTAGCCAAGAAACTGATGCGTTTTGAGCATAACAACAATTCCTAAGTGTACATGCAACCCTAAGGGTGCGTTTGGTTGGCAGGAAATGAATGAAATTTGAGAGAAAATGATTCCAATTCCCTTGAATTCATGTGTTTGGTTGGACATATAGGAGGGAAAAGGATTCCTAAATGAAATAAACTTTCCATCATATGGAGGAAAGTGAATTCATTCCAAAGTTGGATGGAAAACATTCATTCTCATCAAGGAAAGTGACAGATTACAAAAATACCCTTGTACCACTATCACTGACCACCACCACCGCCACTACCACCACTACCACCGCTACCACCAATACTGTCGCCTCACCAACCACCACCACCGCCACCACCACCGCTGCCACAACTACTACCACCGTCGCCGTTACCGCCACTGCCACCAACCACCACTACCACCACCATGACCACAACCCACCACCACCGTCGCCGCCACCACCACCGCCACCTACCGCCACTGCATGCGACGCCACCACCAACTACCATCCTCGTCGTTAGCACCGTTATCATCGTCACCGACCACCACCGCCACCATTACCGTCACCACCACTACGACCATTACCAACCACCACTACCAATGCCATCACCCACCACCACCTCCACTACCACCACCACCATTAATAACACTACCACAACCATCACTACCAACACTACTACCATCGCCGCTACCACCACCACAGCCACCAGCCGTCACTGCTACCACCAGCACCATCATCGTCGTCATTGGCACCACCAGCTGACATTGCCACCATCGCCACTACTTTTGCCACCACAATCAATGCCATCGTCACCATCACCACCACCGTAGCAGCCACCATCATTGCCACCCACAATTGTCACCGCCACTACCCCCCCCCCCCCCACCGTCGAAATTCTATTATTTTTATAATTTTCACAATGTATTTTTACATATAAGTTAGAAAACAAGGTAAAATTAAGCAAACATGCAAAAAGGGTAATTATGTCATTTTACATGAATTCCAATTCCATTTCCTGCGAACCAAACAGATTCTGGATTTTATTCCAATTCCATTTCCTACTAACCAAACAGCATGTGAAATTGGATTCAAATTCCTGACAGATTCCTTTTCCAATTCCAATTCAAATTCCTTCAGCAACATTTTGCGAACCAAATAACACCTAATGCTTTGAATCTAGGTTTTCTCTATTGAACATGAAAACTTGAAAACAAAAGGAGAAACCTAGGAGAGGTATATTATTTTCGAAATTCATATAAAACTAGGGTTAGGTTACATACCTTGATTGTTATATTGTAATAACAATGAATCTCTTGTAGATCTTAAAGCTTGAGAACTTAGTGTCACAACTGTAACATCTCTAATGGCTCGCAAACACACAATGTAACAGAATGATATGAGAGAGGAGGAGGAGATCAAATTTTCGGCTATTGCTTCTTCCAAAGACTTGCCGAAAATCATAGCCCTAAAGGTTCTTTATGTAGTGCACCAAGGATGCTATGGATTAATCCTAATTTCCAATATGATAATTATCCACCTCCTTTAATTATCCATATATGATAAGATATTCTAGAAACTCTAGAAAAATCTTTCATATATCATCACAAAACCATCCATCCTTCCCTAGGAAGGTTCTCGACCCTTTTGCTCAACTATTGAACAATTGCACTTTTAGTCCCTACAATATTAATTAATTTCTTTAATCCCAAAATCAATTCCAAATTAATTTCTGATTAAATATTAACTAATATTATGATTACTAATTAATATATTATTTCCATAACATATTAATAAATCATAAATTCCGATTTATTAATCAAATTAATAAATTCTTTATCGTCCTCAATTAATCATCCTGTCTAGTTGCACGTGTGAAGGCAAACCTAAAAAGACCATGCTACTATCAATTCAAGTACATATCGATTATAGTTATGGGCTTAGACACCTAAACTAAAAGTCTCCCACTTGGATAAGTCTGATAACTATAGTTGCAAGTATAACTTCAAAAACTGATAAGCAATTGTAGCTCTCATAGTTTTTTTATTAAACTCTGACCTAGTCAGTTGCATGACCTAAGATAAGGGATCATATAATACTCTGTTCTGTAAGATATCATGTGAACTAATGACATGGAACAAAATCGTTCTCATTGTTCAACAGTTTGTTTCTCAATTCCTGATTTGTAATGACAAAGAACTTAATCGAACACATCAATTCAGTCCTGACCAGGCCTGACACATAAGTCAATGCCAAATCACCGAGGGGTCCAAGATATCGCTTTCCCCCCTTAGGGTAAATGGAACAGATAAAATTTGACTCATATGCTTGTACTATTTACTCATCAAATCATGCACAACAATACGTTTTATAACACCAAGTTACTGATGCGTTTACGCAATATCAATACACAACCAACTCGTAAACAACAACTCATATATCTCGGTTTAAAGATTATACAATATCACTGTCTCAGAATTATTCGTGATAAATTCCATGAAGTAATTCACTGAGCATGGGTTTAATCCAGTACTTAAATCCCTATTTCAAAAGTACTCATAAATGTTGCAACAAACCATTGTTATGTTTAAACACTTAGACAATCTAGAATCCAATTCATGATAGTCTTAATTCACTACTTACTTCCAAAGTATGATCAACCGTGGATGTTTTGAATAATCCAATTATTCGGGAAGTAAAACATGCAAATGAAACACAAAGATAAACAATTGACAAAAGATAGTAAACAATACTCATAAATAAATCTCCATTATTTAATCATCAAATGTCAATTATATTTATTTGTTACAAGTTTCTAAATAACTATCTAATCACTAAAACTAATATCATCCTTCAGACCATGCTCCTTGTGTGCTGAACATGGTCTCCTGCTTGGAACTTTTCCAAGTTACTGCTCCTTCATAAAGGGTAAACACCCACCCTGACTAAGAACGAAAGTTGTATCTGTCTGTCTGAAAGTTGGCGTCACTGCACCCAGTAACTCTTAAGTTATCATTGCCACCAAGCACAAGGTGAAACATCCCAAAAACACAGTTTGAAAATTTTGTTTTAAATTAGTAATTAAACCATATTCATCAAACGTCATATAAGAATCATAAACAATATATCTCAAAATATCATAACAACTGTCAAATATATCAGAGTATAAACATCCCAGGCTGAACAAATGGTGTGTGCACTGCAATCTTCCCGAGCACCTCTTTTGAAAACTAAGTACCTGAAACCAAAATTGAAAACTATAAGCACGAAGCTTAGTGAGCTTCCCTAAACTACCACATACCATACAATAACATATAAACACATATTGGGCCTTGCCCACTGCATCGGACCGAAGTTCGGAAACTGCCCCGGACCGAAGTCCGGAACTAACTGGGACCCCATCCCCTGCATCGGACCAAAGTCTGGAACTAACTGCATCGGACCGAAGTCCGGAACTGACTGAGACCCCGTCCCCTGCATCGGACCATAATCTGAAACTGACTGAACATAACATATCATAAACATATCAATAAGCATGAATACATATAGTGCATATTGCATCAGAACAGAGTCCAGAACACATAACACAAAACATGCCTGAATCACAAAGACATCAAGCACCCTAATTACTGCATCGGACCGAAGTCCGGAACTAACTGAACATAACATATAATATAAACACATATACTGCATACTGCATCGGACCATAGTCCGGAACACATAACTCATCTGTATCACAAAGACACCAAGCATAATGAACTACTGCATCAGATTGGGGTCCGAAACTACTGCTAATTAAATGGGCCGGTATTGTGGCCTTAGAACCGTTCCTACTGGAAGGAAACTCACCTCACACTGCTGAAGTCCCGTAGACACAATACCACGTTGTTGAAGTCCCGCAGACTCAACCTTAGCTGCTGGA